ATTGATTTTCACCCATAAATATATGAAATGCAGCATGCCAAATGTGATAATCTCTATTTTGTGGGAATATGAAGGGTTTTTTTTTTCTTATTTGTACTTATCTGTATTTTTCCTTATTTTCTAAAGTGTTCATGTATGATTCTAAAAAAAGTTACTATTCTTTTATTTTTGTTTTTGTTTTGTTTTTTGCTACTGGGGATGGAACTCAGGACCTTGTGCTTGTGAGGCAGGCATGGGAACCACTGAGCTAAATCCCCGGCCTAAAAAAAGTTATTATTCTCAAAGCTTAGTGTGTTACTGAAAAGAGACCCAGGTGGAATTGAAAGAAGAAAACTTTCTAGGAACCTGCCAGAAAATTATATCTGACACCAAATAATTGAATTCCTTTTCCTTAGAAGAACTTAAAGTCATATTAAAATACTAGGGCTAATATGTTAGGACTGTGATATTATAAGCTATTTGTCTTAGTCACTTTCCTCATCACAGGGACAAAATACCTGATACCCAAAACTTAAAGAAGGAGAGATTTATTTTGGCTCAGTTTGTAGAGGTCTCAGTCTCTAGTCAGCTGGCTCCAAGGCAGGACAGCTGGGCACAGGGGCATGGTGGAGGATAAGCTGCTCATGGCATGGTGGACAGGAAGCAGAAAGTAGGGTGAGGCAGGGAGGGAGATACAGCCTTCTGGGACACACGCACAGTGACCACCTCTTTGGACCAGAGCAACCTCCTCCTAGTAGCTAGTCAGCTGTAAGCCCACATAATCCAGTCATCTCCCCCAAATCCCGCTGATGAGCACATGAGGCCTTGGGGGAATATCCAGATATATACCATAACACTATCGTCTAGTATGTTAGGTACATGTACATATTACAGTCTGGAGTAAAAGTTTTAATTGTCCACCACAAACATTATCAAATGGTACTGTTCTTTCCTGCTTCCCAGTTGCTGTATGTGGGAAAGAGAGTCAGAAACAGTTTACTTGCCCTCCTGAATTTTAGAGTTAGAATCTAGTTTATGTAGAGAAAGACTGTTTCTAAAAAGTTTTGGGTCTAGGAACAACTGAAAAAATAAATTACATTTTTCTAGATGACCTTCCCTCATTGTGACTAGCCCAACATATATCATTTGCTATATCATTTACTTATACCCAGTTGGCCATACAGTCTCTGAGGCATTCCTTTGCCTCTATTTAAATTGTACTTCATTTGAAGTAGATTATATATTAAAAAGGATTATAACTATCAGAACAAAAGTTATGAAATGTTGTCTATATCTGAAGTATTATTTATTTCCAGATAATTATATGACTTTATCTCGGTTGATTGATCTCCTAAGAAGATGTGGAAAATTCGACGACATTCCAAGATTTTTTGTAATGGCTGAGAAACATAACTCCAGAGCAAAGCTGGAGCCAGGATTTCAGTACTGTAAAGGACTATATCTTTGGTAAATCTGTTGGCAAATAAATCCTACATAGTAGTTATTTTTCATTGTAGATAAAGTAGAACAAGCTTTTCTTTGTAGTCAAAAATCTACATCTTTAAATATTTTAATAGTTTTATTCACTAAGCATATCATAAACTAGTATAAATTTTGTAAAAAATGATTGAAATAATTTTTTTAAACATCTAACAAGGTATACTGGAGAACCAAATGACGCCCTTCGACATTTTAATAAAGCTCGGAAAGACAGTGAATGGGGCCAAAATGCTCTTTATAATATGATAGAAATCTGTTTGAATCCAGACAATGAAACTATTGGAGGTGAAGTGTTTGAAAACCTGGATGGAGACCTGGGGTGAGTACTGTTTGACACATTATCCTTTGGCACTTTTGTTAACATTTGTTGGGAACAATACAGGAATATTTTACAAAAGAGAACTGAATTCTAATAATAGCTTTAATGAAGGGTTGAATGACTTTGGCTGACACTGAAATAACAATTTTCTCAAACAGATAAGAAATACTTTTAGGAGATTTCCTAAATCAGAAGAGACATGTTATAAAGACACTTTCCTACTTAAACTGTAGAAAATAAGATAAATTACAGAAGTTGGCAACTATGGTAAAAATTCTTCACACAATAATAGTAACCACTGAAATTTATAGTTTTGTGTACGCCACCCCCTGTGCTCTAAACTTTATATGCACTATCTCATTTATTCCATAAAACACTGTTATAACATAGGCTCAGAGTCAGCTTCCCTAATGTGATAGTAAAGATAGAGCAAGATTTGGACTGAGTGCTGCTGGCCTCAAGCATCTGTGGTACGTGATATCCGTCAAGCTGTATTTCGTGCATCTGCTGCATCAGAGTTGGGCAAGACTTGGTGAGGGATGTATAAGGATATAAAGGGAAAATAAAAGATGTTTTCTACCTGCAGGATCATGTAGTTTACCTAAAATACAAGACAATACCAGAAACCATTCAGTCTCCAACACAGCAGACATGGACTAAAAAGGATATTAAGTATCGCACAAGTTCATAGAAATTATAGCACTGCATGCTAGTCAAGGGAAGATGCTTAGAGAAGTGGTATAAAACTAGTGCTAGACTCATGAATAATTCAAATGACAAATTTTAAGGCTTGGATTTATAAAGAACATTGAAATTTTAGAACAGGGGAATGGCCTACTTATTTTAACATTTGTTTTAGGAAGGTTGAAGTAGCATATTGTTAAGGAATTATAGGTTACCAAAGTGGAGATCTTTAGCAAGTAATTTAAATACAGAAGTAGAGCTCAGAGGGAAGTTCCGGCTGGCTGCACAGATGTGGGAGACCTCTGCACAGGCTGGAATCCGTGAGGGGCCTGCTTGCAAGATGGCATAGTAACAGAACTCTGAGGAGTCATTTGGGCATGCTTCCATTTAAGAGGTCTGAAGGAGGAAAGGAGGTCAGGAAAGGGCAGTCAGTGTGTGGAAAGAGAAGCAAAACTGTAGTGTTACAGAAGCCAAAGGAGAGGGACTTTGAAGATGGTTGCCACCAGTATGAAAAGTTTTAAGTAAAATAAAAAGCCTGAGACACAAGGAGAGAATGAGTGACTTTAGTGACTGGACTTTGAGAGTTTAATTTCTTTTTTTAATTGAATAGATTATATAGATACTTAAAATATCTATATATCGTATATTAAAAGTAAGAAACTTGCTATCAGATACTCAAATTGGTATTGTACTCAAACTTTACAACATTTTAACACATGAAATTTCTTTTTTGATAGACAACGTGGAAGGAAAATAAAGTAGATTTTGTATTCTGTAGCTAATAAACTTACATTCATATCCTCAAATTATCATTTATTATCTGTGTAACCTCTGACCAATCACTTCACCTGTTTGGACTTCAGCTTTCCTATATGTAAAATGAATTTCACATACACGAATGAAATCACAGAGTGTTTGCCCTTTTCCTTCTTCTTCCCTTTCCCTGTGTAAGTACCATTTGCTAATTGTGTAATTCTATTTTATCCTAGTTTTGCATTAGCTTAACTGAACACATTTACCATATGTACATTTGGTCTATTTTTGTTTTTAATCTGAGTGAATTGTAGTTTAATGGTGTTTTACTGATGGTATATTTATTTTATTTAAAAATGCATTTATAGTTGTGTAACATGGTACTAGAAGAGAATGGGTAACATTTTCGCAAAGGATTGCTTTTAAATAAGTGACGAAATAGAAGCCAGTTTTGATTCTAATCTCAATGAATTTTATGAGTAGCAGACATAAGTGATTTATTTTTAATTGTACACAGTAATTCAACTGAGAAGCAAGAGTCTGTGCAATTAGCAGTAAGAACCGCAGAAAAACTCCTTAAAGAACTAAAACCTCAGACTCTTCAGGGTCATGTACAGGTTCGCATAATGGAAAACTATTGCTTAATGGCTACGAAACAGAAACCTAATGTTGAGCAAGCATTAAATACCTTCACCGAAGTAGCAAAATCTGAGGTTAGTACTTTTTGTTTTCAGCTTTGTATGTTATCTTTCCTTGGTAGTATAGAAATATGCATTTAGATTAGTTTATTTTATAAAGATCAGCTTACTTACTTATTTTTATAAAAATTAGATACATAGTCTGGCACAGTCCTACACAATATACCTTTCTTTCCTGAAGAGATACTGTTACTTTGATGATGTGTTAGTGATGTAATTATCTTTACTGGAATGTTGAATTCTATAGAAAGGGAGCTATCCCAGAGGGTGTGAGTTTATTGCCAAGAGAATGACTTTTATCTTCTGAAGAATTTCTATATTGTAGACCTAGTGTAGGTCAGCTTCCTAAATTAAAATAAACCCCTGTCTGCTGGGATCTAACCTTTTCACTGTGTTCTAGGAATTTTTCAACTACAGGGCTAAGTGAGATCAATACTGATGACTTATGGTTCCATCATGCAAATGATAGTGTTGAATTTGCACCACACTGAAATAACCTCCAGCAATTATTACTATTTTGCATTATTATTCTTAGAAGACCAAAGCTTCCTTCTTGTTTTACCCCACTCAGAGCTATGTTCTTTCCTTCTGCCTGGGTGTTCTAGGTTTTTTTTTTTACTCACACAGTCCTCAAGATATTCACCCAGTCAACAGTTGGTTATACGTAATTGTAAGGGTGTTCATTGGAGTTCATGATTGTTCTTTCACCACTGAAAACTCATAATTTTATGTCTCTCAGAGGATATACAGAAATTTGCTGTTTTCTTCTGGTTCAGAGGTCACAGTCATAGCAGTGGACTGCCAAAGACCCCGTACGTGTACAGATTGAGAAGTCTGGCATTTGGGAGACTACATCTCCTGTCCTGGTTTGGGTACAGTTTGTCTTCGATGGCAGATAATTATTAACCACCGTCACCCACCCTTTGTACACACAACAAAGTAGCATCAGCAGCCACACCACCATAGAGCAGAGCCCTGGTGGAGACTTTGAAATTATGTCCCAAGGATCAAGCTTTGCTGAATGCGCCTTGTGCAACAGAAGCATGATAGCTGCTGAATGAAGGGAAGTAAGACAATCATGTAAAGCTAAGAAAACTCTGTAAGCCCATGATGAAGCACAGTGTCAATTAAGGTGTCGTCAGTAGTGCGTGTTGTGAAGTAGTATTCCATAACAATGAAGTTGATTTGAGTAAGTCTAGTATTCTTTCTGCAGTATTTAAAAGGGAGAAGAACCAAAAGCAATGATTGACATTACAGCAGTTTCCTACAAAAACTGCCAGTTTTTAGTGTTGATGAGGCTGCACTATTTTTATCATCCTTACCTATGCAATTACTAATATACCTTTCTCAAATCTGTTTGTGAACCATATTATCAAAATGATGACAGACGAGCTGAAATTTCATAAATCCTGGATTTTATCTCACATTTTTCCTTTCACTTACAGGCTGCGTATACTCGGTATATGACTATTAATTGAGTCGTCAGTGAGTACTAAGTGTAGTGGCAGTCACAAATATAAATAGTATATAGTTCCTTTTTTAAAATTTCTCATAATGTACAGAAAATGAAGCATATTGCCTATAGTGACTATAATACAAAGCAAAATGTGTTATATTCTACCCTAGACTTCAAATAAAAGTGCAATAGGTCATAGTATGAGGATTGGGAGCCCCTTTTGTGGAACAAAATGATTTGAAAAACCAGGATGCATTGCATTTTCACAAGCAGAAATGAACAGTGTCTTCTTAGTGAAGAAAAATATGAACAAAAACAAGGGTGCAGAAAAGCATGAGGCATTTTCAGAACACTGTCACTCGGAGGTGTGTGGCAGGAACTTACAAAGGAAATGCTGGAAGATTCAGCGGCCTAAGCTAAACTCTTCTCTCTTGCTTTCATTGCATCGCCTTGAGGCATAAAAGTGAACTAGTTATATTAGAGCTGTCTTGTCCACTCCTGAATTCTGTCCTCAAGGATGACTAAAAGTGAAAGAGAGAAGCTGGTTGAAGGTGTCCTGGTAGAACACGTGCCTGTCAAACACAATGCCCCAATATTCATCCCTCACACCTGAAGAACAGAAACAAAAACAAACAAAAAAACTTGTGATCTAGTGTGATCTAAACTTGAGATGAGACCTCAGTTTGTAGTTTTAGAAACTGTTCTTTGATTTACTCAAGAGTGATCAAGTGGTGAAGAACTGGTTCTAATCAAACTCAAGCTGTGTAGTCTGAAAATCAGAGTCTTACTTTAAATATGTAATGTGGGATGTTTTATGCATATGATTTTCATAGGACCCTTCTCTTCTTAGGCCATCCTATGACCTGACTGACAAAAATACACAGTAGGCCTCCATTTTCTATCCTGTCGTAGTCCACCTAAGTCCACCTCACCTGGGGTGAGGCTTAATAATTTATAATATTCCTCAAATCTTCAAAATCTATTTTCAGTTGGTTGGATTTGGCACTCCAACTGTTTTGCCACTCTTTATCTGGGAAAAATATTATACATTGGAAGTTTATTGACAGACATAGAATCAGAGCCAAGTTTTACATTCCTATTGTTTTTATCAAACCCTGGAGTTAATCACAGACATACACATTATTGCTTATATAAGTTAGTTTTCTGGATAGATTACTGATGGCTTCCATTTTATACCAATTCAAATTAACCTGTTGGATTCACAGAATGACATTTTCTGACTTTGAACTCTTATCTAAAATATTGTATTTTATAGACCCTATGAGGAAACTGCAAACTCTATATCTGAAAGCCTATTTTAAAGCATGAGTATTTCATGTGATTTCTAAGTAATTAATTACACACCCTCTGTATAACATTTAAGGCTCCTTAGTAAAAGGAGAAGGGTGGAAAATGAGCAATGGAAGTCAACTGGTGGTGCAGGTCTGTTATCCCAGTATTCTGGGAGGGAGGCTAAGGCAGAAATATCACAAATTCAAGCCCAACCTGAGCAACTTAGTGGTGTAGCAAGACCCTGTCTCAATATTTAAAAAATTAAAAATGGCTGGGGATGTAGCTCAGTTAAAAACCCCTGGGTTCAGTCTCCCGTACCACAAAAATAAATCAATTTCAATTGGACTGTAATTTGTGGGGAATTTTTCTAGTACTATTCTTGTTTGGCAATAACTAAATTTGAAAGAACTAAGGAAGTAAAATGCTAACCCTGAAATCAAAACTACCCATACTGAAATGAGATTTTTTTTTTCTATTTTTATACAAACCCAAATAGCAAGGCAGCCCCATTAAAAATCAAGTGACACTCCTTGTTGGGATTTTGTGGTTGCAGGATGTGTGTAGTTATTGAATTATTTTGACCACACAGAGTCTAATCAAGCTTCTTCTGATAGCTTGAGATTACTGGATGTGTTAAAAGATAATGGTAATTACAGTTATCTGGGATGGAGCCAGAAGTAGAATCCACAGACCAGTTCTTATGTAGCATTGCTTTCCATGTTTTTCTTTTCAATAGAGGATGTTTATCTCGTGTATCTAGTGGTCTAAAGTTCTGTTTTCTTACAGAATGATCATATCCCAGCACTCTTGGGAATGGCAACAGCTTATATGATCTTGAAACAGATACCAAAAGCTAGAAATCAGCTGAAACGGATTACAAAAATGAATTGGAATGCTATTGATGCTGAAGACTTTGAGAAGAGTTGGCTGCTACTTGCTGACATTTATATTCAGTCAGCAAAATATGACATGGCAGAAGACCTATTAAGACAATGCCTGCGTCATAATAGAGTAGGTGACTGAAGAGTGAAAAATAATTGTTAACCTTTGTTACACAGGCTTTCTATATAATAGTATTATAGTATGCTGGTCCGTTTCTAATGATTCTTGAGTGGCTTTTAAAATATTAAATATATATTCTTACCAGAAGCAGAAAATGATAAGAAAGAAGTCATTTGCCCTTGAAAATAATGAAAGAAGATTGCAATTTCAAGTTCCAGCTGCGGTGATGCCCTGCTTACAGAAAATGTTTCTGGAATGTCAAGCATTTGCCTACGATTACTCATCCCAGAACTAATGAAAATTGCAGAACATTAATTTTGGGCGTCTATCTCTCCTATTAAGAATACTCTTGATGAATTTACTGCAGCTGTATGTCATTTCCTCATTATTAGAATCCACCATGCATAACATTTTTCAAAAGGGAAAGTCTTGTTAGCTTTTAATTTAATAAAAATGCTTACTTTAGATAGAAAAAATCAAGTCCATAGAATGTAAGGCTTTTTACTAACATTTTGGTATTTAATCACACTAAAGAGATGTCTTATTATGAGAATTTTGTCAAGTTAAGATTTATGTTATTTACTGAGAAATAATTGTACTTGACTTAGAAACTTAAAGGTATTTATCTTCACAGATTCATACCATTTCTTCAGATTTTTAATCACAGTAAATCTGTTCTATTCTCTGAGCAAATTAGATTATGAAATGGATCATTTGTTTTATGAAGAGGAGACATGATCATCTAGTACTATTTTTATACTTTCTTAGGAACTTAACTAAAACATCCAGCCATTTGTCAATTTATAGACTATTCTAAATGATCAGTTACATCCATTTTAAGTTAAGTTGGACTTGAAAGCAGAAGATACTCATTAACAGGCTTTAAAAATCTAACTGAATAGCTAAACCTTATTATGTCTGATCTAGAATTAAGCAAGATTTCATGAGAATTAAGGTTTTGATGCAGGCACAGTTTCAGTTTGCTGGAACACTGACAGCAGTACCTTGCATAATTGAACATGATGACTACTTTAGAGACTTCATTTGGCCCTGCTGGTTAGACATGTCGATATGGGGAGCATGAACTTTAGGAACTAAAAAGCTTACAAACCTTGGATTATATAAATAAAAAATGGAAATTGTCCAGTTTTAGGCAGGAAATGTCCAAGATGACACTAGACCATGTTGTCATCCTAGATGTCAGGGGAGCTATTAGGCATGATTAAAGTCATGGCAAGGACTGAGGAACCAACCTCAGGGTACTCCCAGGAGCCAAAGTTAGGACACTTTTTAGTACCAGTAGGAATGATAACTGTGCTAGGTTGAAATACATCAAGTGTGTGTAGTCCATAGCTTCATAATAATGAAAAAAGAAAAGAAAACCTAATTGGTTACCACTGCAGTATGCTAATGAACTGACTTCTAAAGCTGACAGATAAAGTGAAAGCAGCATCTATCCTGTCTTTTCTGTACAGACTATACTATTGGGTAATCGGATAGGAGTAGTAGATAAGGAGAGGTTTTTCATTATACATATTTCTGAGACAGTGAATGAAGAAACACTGATAGAATCTTACCATTTTTCAAACCTCGTGAATTTTTGAATGGCCATCACATCATAAAAAGGGAAAATCAGACATTCTATGCTTCCTGATGGAAGAACACAGCACCTATGACAGGGTCAGGACTGGTGTGAGACGAGAGAAATACTCAGTCATCACGATAATTTAATGCATTTTTTTTAGAAAATCAAGAGAAATTAAAAAATCAGAATATCAAAATGATAGATTTGATTATGCTATGCTGAGCCAGAATCAAAAAAGAAAATCTGAATCTCTCTATTCATTTTTATTTTTCTATATATTCTTAATGAGTCATACTTTTAATGAAAATATTAATAAAACTTTTTAAAGGAAAGTAAAATTACAAATTCTATTGAGATATTAAAATAATGCTTTA